GCGGCAGTGAAGAGCGATTTTGCCTCACGAGTTCCATAGCGGAAAGAGATAGATTATTGTAGAACCATTGCAGTCATTTCCAGGTTAGAAGGTGCGATAATCACTCAATATCACAGCAGCAGCATCTTAGAAAATCATGCCAGTTAGCTTTAGCAATCCGTTGTAGACATAAGTAGTGGAACGCCTAGTTTCCCTAAATTTTCAACATGGCGGCAGTAGTGGTCAAGTAATTAATAGCCACTCGAAACTCTCCATTGCCTCCCATCTTTCCCGTTTCTGGTTCCTTATGTAAACCTTATTTGGTTGCATCCCTTCATGTTGACTATATATTTGTAAGCTCCATGAATAAGAAAGGAATAAAACATTGTTATAATGTAGTGATGCAGTCGCATAATCGTAGATCGCTGTTGGGTAAATATTAAACTGTTAAACGCCAAGTTTGGTCTGAAGACTGATGGTAATGTAAGCTCAGAGCATTTTGCAAAGATCTAGAAACACTTTTCTGACATCCGCTATACACAATCGGACATCATCTTATCAGATCAGCCAGTTTAGGTACTATTTGCTTTGCAATCAATGTTTATCATATAGTATCAAGCAGACAATCAACTATAATAGTCAATTTTGATCAATATTTAATATTCAATTCATGAACATCGTCCCTTACTTGTATGATGAAGCACATAAAAGAGCACCTCCCTTATCAGTACTAAACCTAAGATATAGAAATTGAAGTAGGGATAAAGTGGTATTGTCTCGAAAACGGAAAGAAAGTAAACCTATGTGGCGCGTGTGCACAGTAATCAACTTTTACACCCCATTCAATGATATTAAATACTGTGGTTTTGCTGTCTTCCTGTGATTCTAGCCGATCAGTTATGTGGCCCTTTTGAAAAATAATCTGGTTCACGTCTCATAATTCTTGGTCTTTGGTTTTGATTCCCCCGCTGGAGTAACTATGATCAGGGAATGGTGCATCCGACAACTACTGGGTAAGTCCAACACGTGTTCTAACCAATTCAGACTACTAATTTGAAGTCGTTGTGGCAACGAATATTCTGTCGGAATACTGAAAATTACACAATATCTTACTTTGGTGATGTCAACCCGTTCGCTCCGTCTCATTTGTATTAAACTAGATAGGAGATCATGACCGAAAGTCCTCCAAATACTCAACCGTAAAGCGAAACTGCGGCGCATTATCCATAACCTCTCAACCTCAATTAAACGCAATGGATTTATTTTCAGTTCAACACCAGCTTCTCAAGCCTTGGACCTATATGTGGTCGCATTAACTGTGCTAGCGTCATTCGTTACTTCGCTGCCTAGATCAGCCCGCGCACTATTGATTATCGAAATTCAGACCATTGTTAGTCGATATCCAACCATGCGGTAATATTTTTACACTTTGAAAGCTCATCGTAAATGGTACGCTAATACTTATTAGCCAGTCGAATGCGCCTATAGCGGGACAGACAAATAATGTTCCAGTGCGTTTTCGAATATGTTCACCTACCATATGTATTCTAAATTGCACTGAGATTTTCCAGTTTCCTACGTAATATCGAAATTTCAATGCTGAAATAGGATTGTCGAGCAACGCTACTGATTTCGAATCAACTATTCACATGACTGGAAGTAAGTGTGTGCACTGGTCTCAGTGAATTGATTCATTGCTAGGTGATATCATTGTGAAGAAGGGAACGGAATAAAGTCTCGCCGTTAATTGAGTGAAGAGCGTATATCGGAACTCGCCAACTTGACAATGGGGATTTCGATCAATACAAACTCAGCTTGATCGAAATCGGCTAAGTTGTTCATGAACTGTTATCTCTTTAAGAGACACCAGGTTGTGAAGTATCATGGGAGCTGATTATCGGGGTTAAACTCAGATTTTGACAGTGTAAGCAGTAACTGCAAGAAGTGTTCAGTAACTTGCCATAGTAGTATAAGATAGGGTCCTTTTATCAGAATAATTAAATATCCCAATAGAGAATCATCCTTTTGTGGTTAAATACCTTCAGGTCTGGCCTCCTTACTTGTCTTCAACCGCCCAATACAGGAAGGTAGTTCCAAATCTGTTGGGGATTTATTTCAGATCACCCATGAAACTATTGAGTAGAGCAGGTTTCTCCGGCTTTCCAGGTTGTATTCTATAGTACTCCGCAACCGGTGGGTTGGAGACAATGAGGGACATGATAGCTAACCTGTAGCATTGGTTTTCTTATTGTCATTTCTTATCAGGCCAGATTGCTTGAAAAGGTATGTATGCACAGCTAGATTGAGCACTCTGTGTGTTGACCATAGTGGTTCGCCTTTTTCCCCTCCATCAAAATGAGCTCAATCCCTTTCCAACTTACATGTTCTAACTTTATATTCATTGCAAATTTGGCAGCGAGCAGTGAAATTCGCTTTTCTTTATTTTTGCTTATTACGATGATAATACCCGTGAAACTTCGATGACATCTGGCGTCTAAATAACCCCCACGAGACTGAGATCTGCAGAATTGCTCCAATGACCTCTCCTTTCGATTTTTTGATTTTCTGGTGAATAAAAATAGGCGTTTCATTCTGGATCCAGTTGGATTATTTCCTGAATCACCGGCTACATTGACCCACAACCCTTTTCATAACATTCCGATAATTGACATTGAGACTGCAATCCTCTGTTTGACTTACGTATCAGTTGTTTCCTGATTGTACTCCGGTTTGCTTCGAATCGCATCCGTTTAAGAAATTAATTTACAGACCTAAATTAGGTGTGCTTTAAATGATGCTACACTTGTGCAGTATGCAGTACCTAGAAATCTGTATCGCGATTTTCTTTTATTGAAAATGCGTGTGTCACTTTTCCCTCGTGAGAGACACGTATGCAAAAATGGCATTCTTTATCAGTAAAAGAGAGAGAATTTAGAAAATCTTCAAGTCTATTTACATTTATCTATGCATGAATTGACCAAGGTTGTTTGTTGGGGTAAACTAAGCTCCCTGTTCGAGCAGGTTACAGCAAAATACAATATTGCTTGGATTTTTCTGAGTGAAGTTCAATGATACCGTTGAAATAAACAAAATTCTCGGGGTTCAGACACTTGGCTTCTCTCATTGGGTGGCCTATGTCCACCACGATCAACCCGTTTTCTCTCCCTCTCACGGATCGATAACCTGACCCCAAGTAAATTGCAAATGTGACGATGCTCTTTCCAATATCATGTCCTTTCAAAGTATCACACAAATAAATGAAATTATCCCAACTTTTTCCTGGGCAAAAGACCGTCAAGCCGTCTATCGCCGTGCGATTCCGGAGGTTGAACCAGTAGGGTAGCTCATACTTTGCTAGATGCTGCTATGTTTACCTTGCGGAACTCCAATTAAAAAATCACTCCACAGGTGAATGACTTACTGCTATACCTTTACCGAGCAGAAGTTGAGTGGGGGGCATATCAGGCCCATTCTGGTTATTGATCACAAAGTTTACATAGTATTGAGCGTCAACTTGAATGATGGTCAATAAACAGCTAACTCTGCTGATGGACCTAAGAGAGGGGTAGTGATGTTCCTGATCTTTACACAAATGGATTATGAGAAAGGCGAATGAATAATTTTCTTCAACTTGTTTAAGAGTAAAAAGAAGTGAAATATATTCATCGGATATATTCGCTAGAAATCTATGGATAATACACGATAGTTGAAAGATTCAGAAATACGCACCATATGAAAACAAATGATACCAAATATAGGTAACCACTTTTCACCCCCCTTTCACACTGCTAAAAAGGACATTGTCCTGGTTCGTAACAGTTCAGTCGTGATCAAGCTTTGGTGCATTTAAGATTCATTGTCAAAGGCATTGAAGATATTCCGAATGGAATATGTAGTGAGACTTCGAATTCTGCCGCAGCTCACTCGCATCGATGGTACGTGTCTGGTCGGCCTTGTAATCGATTTCGCCATTATTGATAAATCCGATGTTTTATCGATCTGCATTTCAACTTTTGTCCCTGTAAATCGTTGTGACATAATTACGGTCGACCCGCCCCAGTTCAGTGAATCATGTTCTTCCTAAACCAGGGGTTTTTTCACGTAAATGTTATAACTGCAGTTATAACAACCTGGCCAAGGTGGAAAATGATCATCCCAGTGGAATTTTTTCAGGAGCTATTAAAACAACAACAGGAACAGTTTCGACTTTTGATTCAGCAGCTTTCCTTGCAGTAAAATGCAAATAACTCAAAGGTTTCTACCGTAGAAACGCTGTTTCAAAGTATTAATACATTTCATTATAAACCTGGTGTTGTACCGCATGTTGACACTGTGGAAAGTGGCACTTCGGTCAATTTTGCGCATACGGACAAGCGCGGAATCTGTGATTTGATTGGTTTGTCACCATCGCTCTGAACCAAAATCGTTCCATACTGGAAGCACCAGGAGTCGTAATCCATTAAAACTCATCTTTGCCATGAACGCCATGGATTTCAAATATCGTCCAAAGTATTTTCAGATTCACATCAATAAGCAAACAGTGAAATTACAATCCGATAAAGCCTCTGATGTGACCATCATCTCAGTAACCACCTGGAATTTACTGGGCAGACCAGATTAACAGCAAACCACCCATATTGCTTGGGCGGAATCTGGAGAACAAATACCATTTATCGATGAGTTTAACTGCGAATTTTCGAAAATTCACGAGATGTTCATCCCACAGTTGTCGTTTTCGCGGCACTTGCTACATATCCAAACTTGATTATTTGAATTTGCTTGGCATTGATTAGACAGACAAATGGAATTTGTGACACTTGCCTTTCAATGAATTTTCTGATCCTTCTGACACCAAGTCCCCCTCAAGATCACACCAACTGATCCATGGTGCGTCAGTAAATTGTGCAGACATGAGCGTTGTCCTTTTGCGTTTAAACGCTCACTATATCTGCATTTTTTTATGGTCTTGATTTGTGCTGTAAAACAAAGGCATTTTACAGGTACCTTCCGGCACTAGATCCATGTTTTGTTCAAAACAACCTGTAGCTTACGCTTCCGTAGAGCTTGTCAACGGTGAGCTGACCCAGCTGGAACAGTTGAAAGTCATAAGTCCGGTTAACTATTCGGCATGGGCTGCACCGATCGCTTTAGTCAAGATGGCCAACGGGACCACAAGGACCTGTGTCGACTTTTCAACAGGGTTGAATCAATGCCTCCAGACACATCAGTATCCGTTGCCTGTTTCGGATGATTTGTTTGCCAAACTGAACGGTGGCAAAGTATTTTCCGAATTTGACTTTTCTGATGCTTACTTACAAATTGAGGTGGAAGATGAGTGCCAAGAGTTACTTACCATCAACACCCGCAGGAGTTGGTACCGCTACCATCGTCTGCTCTTTGGTGTTAAGTGTGCCCTAGCACTTTTTCAACAAATAATGGACGCAATACTGGATGGTCTAAAGTTCGCGATGGCGTATCTGGACGACATTGTTATTGTTAGTAAAACAACAGATGGGCTCATACAACTTTTGGATGTAGTACTGTAGCGTATCTCCGAGTATGGTTTCCGACTTTAGCCCCAGAAGTGTTCACTTGGGCTCTCTAGCACTAACTACTTGGGGTCAATCACTGATAGCACTCGTAGAGGACCTTGTCTGTTAAAACTTTCATCAATAGAGCGAATTCCCGAAACCACCATTGAAGAAACACTGCAGCCCTTCCTCGAACTCGGGAAATACTATCACAATTTCGTGCCACAGATGTATCAATTATGAGCTCCGTTAAACCAATTATTGAAACGAAACACTAAATGGCTCTGGTCCTCTGCATGTCAGGAAGCATTTGTTGCAATTAAAAGAATTCTTACGTTCGATTTACTTCTCGCTCACTATGACCACAAATTGCCTAAGTTCGTTGCAGCTGACGCTTCGGAATATGGAATTGAAGCTGTTTGGTTACATGAACTGCCAGTTGGCGGTCGTAAAGCCGTTTGTCTTGTTTCCAAAGCACTATCAGCAGTAGAAAAGAGCAATAATCAAATTGAAAAAGAAGGAATGGCACTGATTCTCACACTAAAGAAGTTTCACGGAAGAAAACCCATCCTGCTCACTGATCGCAAACAGTTGCTGTCCATCTTCGGAACGAAGACAAAAGACCTGGTACACACTGGAAATCGGTAACAACGTTGGGCCACAATGCTAATAGGTCATTATCTTGACTTACGTTTAATTAAAATGATAAAATTTAGATAAGCTGATTCCATCTCCGGACTAATAACTGACCATGGCAGTTGTCTCTTTGAGGAGGATAATGCAATCGCATCAATGGCCATGGTTTCTGATGTTCAGTACGTTTTCGAGGATGCAATGCGCAGCCTACCAGTTACCCCTACAATGATCCGGTATGCAACCTCAAAGGGCAAATTATTACGGAATGTGATGCTGCATTGTAGAACCATTTGGCATGACTTCAAAAACAGAACTTATCACGAATTTTTCAAAAGAAGGTTAGCGTTACTTGGCAAACAAGGATGCTTGATGCTCAGGGAACGAGTTGTTGAGCCTCATACTTTACAGCTAATTGCGTTAAGGCAATTTCAACCTGATCACCCTGTCATCAGTCGCATGAAGGCGATTGCTCGAAGTTACGCATATTGGTCATTGATAGACCAGCAAATTGAACGCATAGTTAAAACTTGTCACCATTATTTAATGACTGTCAAACTACCTCATAAGGCTGAACCTGAATCATGGTAACCTGCCGCGGCACTTGATCTCGCAATCACATTGATTTTGCTGGCCCCGTTGGAGGTACATAAGCTAATAATTGTTGATGCATATTTTAAGGGGCCCGAAGTTATTCCGATGCGTGTTGCAACTACATCTGCCATCATTGCAAACTGTAGGAGATTACTTGCCCATTTCGGCATACCGGAAGTCCTGGTTTCAGTTCACATCTTCACCATTCGCAGTATTCTGTTCATCAAATGTTATCCGCCATGTTCGTTCTCCTATGTATTACCCGCAATCAAACGGTCAAGGGGAACGATTTGTTGATATGTTTAAACGTTCACTGATCAAATTACAGGGAGAAGGTAAACTACAGCTGTCCATTGATGCATTTCTCCTTATTTACCGCTCAACTCCCAACCCAGCTACTTTAGAACGGAAAGCCTCGAATGAATTATTTCTTGGTAGACAATTGCAGTTAGTTCTTCATGCCATGATTCCGAGGGTGCAAAATAATGCAGAATTACACACCACTTGAAATGGCAACACCAGACTGAAAACTTTTAAGCTAGGAGATCACGTTCATATAGGTTGGAGAGCTGAATTCCTGCGGAGATTTTAAAACGAAGTGGATCAGTTACATATAAGGTCAAAGTGAGACCACCGGATTACGAACAAAATTCCGGCAAATTTCAGCACCGATGTCAAGGCACCTGATCAACCGGACAGACAACACTCAACCCGAACTCGAGCTCCAATACGCCCACTGACCATCAAACCCAAGAATTGATCATGAGTCATCAAGTGGTATTTAAGATCCGGTCCATCCATCCATCTGCGGCAAATGAAATATTTCTGAGGAAAGTGTATGCCATGGATACAAGTAAATGAATAAACTGACAAAAGACTACCGGATACGCATGCCCATCGAGCGTAATCTTTTGTCAGTTTACTCTTTAACTCGTACCCAGGGTGTATACTTTTACCACAAATATTTCATTTGCAATACCAGGTAAATTTGTTCGGACAGTCCTTGTTTAATGAATACCATGATTCGATGTTTTATAGGTAGGTTGGATGCTACTAATCACAACAAACGTTAATTAAGTGTCCTTATAGAATACTTTACAATATTTGTGTTTTTTTAAGTAGCTCTCGTGTTTTCGCATTTCCTTTTCTAACATCTTGACTAATATTGACAATGATAATAATAATAATAATAATACAATTATTATCTTACCTTTAAACTTCGAATATACGCTTGTATCTTTTACAGAGACACTAGCAGTTAAGCTAAGGCTGTTCGGGGATGCACAGATAAAGTTGAAGATGAGTGATGGTGGTGGCAGTGGTTAACTACGGGTCGCTTCTTTAGTGAACTTAACCGATTGACTCCAACTGCATTATAACGTGAACAAATTTGCAATTTCACCACATATTAATTTCAGCTGGACTATGTGTGTTCGAAAGTACCTGGATCTGCTTCAATCACAATTATATAGACTATGGCAAATGCAAAGTAAATTCAATGTCCTTTTTGTTCCTGTTTCTATACTGATCAGATTGCTAGTCCTGATTTATACTCCAATATGTTTTGTGGATGAAGGGTACGTCAAATGTACTTAACTAATCTCCAACTCAACACGTACAGAATGGTAGTGAGTGTCTGTTGCGCAGTGTACACAAAATTATCCCTCGAATAACATCATCAGCCGCGATCAGTTAGCTGGAAACCACCCGACCCCCGTAATGAGTTCCATTGTGTGTGCATGTACACGTTGGTATGTGCTCATCGAGTATCAGTCTTCCTCGAAGCACTCGAAATGATGCTCTCGAACACGCACCGATTACCCTTCATATTCGCCTCATTCACTCTGTTCTATCTATCACGAGGTCTTTCGGGTACACAAATAACAGAGATCACATATGATTGCAATCTGTTTGGATCAAATCGGCTTAACTTGTCAACAATGTCCGCATCTTCTTGCTGATCAGGACCACCCCAGCACCCCGTACACATCCACTGCCCACCCCACATCGCACACAAACCCCTATCGCTAAATTCTTCAATATTTCACAGCGTTCTTGCCTCCGGAATAACACCCCGACTGATCCGGTCCTTTTTCTCCTGTTTCTCCAGTCGTCCTTGAACATCTCATCCCGGCCTATCCGATCGTTTCGTGCCTGTCACACACGATTCCCACACATTACACATATACACACACAAACACGCATATGCATCCACAGTCAATTGGTGCGTTCATTGCACACAGTCGGTGCTTTGTCTCATCTCATGCCTAACCCCGAATTGTGGCTAAGTTAATCCGCACCACTTGAAGAAGAAGCGGAAGATCTTGCCGGAGGACTTGAGGGGTGGTGGTCGTGGTCGTGATGGCCGGGACCTGTGGCAGACGAGCTCCGGTCAACAGGATCATGAGGATCAGATAGTATTCCCGGCAGATGACGAGCGCTAACTTGTCCAGCATTGTTGGTCTACCTGGTGAAGATGATGATCGCCCAAATACAAATTGACTGTCATTTTCACTTGATTGCATTTCGAAAGAGCGAGAGAGAAACCTATTGGTGACTATATCAAGTGATTGGCGGATGAATCAGGCAAATAGGAGTGAACCTGGCATTCAACTTCAGCTTGTCAGTACTCTCTATTCTTATTATTGGTGAGCAAACCGGACGGTTCGCTTTTTTCCGGACAACGGTCAAGTGCAAGCTAATATCATGTCTTGTTTTGTCTGAACAGAGAAGATAAACGTTCGTTATCGTGGTCACAGGACATCACATAGATTCAGCTTAAACACATGTACACACACACGCACACACTGACAGACAAATCAAGACTGTTTGGTAACGTCGAAAATTCTGATCTACATTGTTCTCGTTATTATTTGAATAGTAAATGCGCATAAGGCACAATCACTAAGCATGCAATCTATTCT